ATGACACAATTTAAGAGTATTACCCACCATTAAAAAATAAATTTTCTTGTAGCAACTCAAGGAAAATGTCTAAATGGTTAATTCAAATATTTAGTGTTATCTGTTGTCAACCAATGGTTAATATAACTATGTTTAACATGTGTACTTGAATCTATTTTATGAAAAAGAAACTTCAATTCTTACGCGCGTTCTTTATTTAGCTTATCACTACTCATAGGGTTCCATGCTATCTCTTTATTTTTTTTTCTTCCCTCACTAATTATCCCCACATCCCTATCTCCCTGTACATTAAAAGAGTGCTTTTCACTTTATTATGCCCAATCTCATTTTCCTACTCCTTTATTTAATCTCTCATGTGAAACCCTAACAATCAACATTTTCCCTCTCATTCTCTTTCTTTTTTCACCCTTAATTGCATGAGTCGACTATCTAGAAACTTCAATTCATTCTTTTGCATCTTTAGATTAAAGTGGTAATTTCATTTCATTTCTGTATTTGATTGATTTTTCTTTTTCATTTTGGTTCTTCGTACCTATAACAACATGATTTCGTACTTGTTTTGGGGTTTACTGAATTATCTATTGAATTTAAACACAAAGAAATTTAATTTTATTGATGTAAATTACTTATACATACAAGACCACTCAATTCTACTTTATACTCTCAAATAAGTAATCACATAGCAATAATATTTTTCTTACTCACAGAAACTATTCCTCTCTCTCTCTCTCTCTCTCTCTCTCATTTGCACAACACACATATAGGCTGGAAGATATTGCATGTAAAATTCAAGGTAATTCTTCTCTTAGCAACCATTATGTTTAAATTCCGTAGCTTCCAGATAATTCATAAAAAGGCTATGATGATTTCTTCAATTCTCCCCTTCAGCACCGACCTTTTAATTTATCTCTTTTCTTTTTGTCTCGTTCAACTTCACTTGAAACTTGACCAATTTCTAATCGCTCGATCCTATGAAGATCAGGAGCACCGTGTCTATGAACAGAACTATTGAATGTCAAACCACCCATACCCACTGAATGATCCAAAGTAAACCCATTATAGGGAAAAACACCGTGCATTCGCAGCCTCATATATATTTGGCTTTTCCATGCTTTCCTCTTCATCGATTTTTAGATTAGGATACTTGGTATTTGATTTCTCATGTCCACCCAATATTCTTATTTGTGATTGTAAATTTGTATGCATCTCAATCGCTTGTTGACTCTGTCGATCCTCTATTAATGCTTTTTGGACCAAGTCATATTTCCTCGGACTCTGTGTTGCTCTTATAAACATTTTATCACTTGAAATTTATTAGGTATTTAGATTCCTCAGAATTTCGTCATTAGGTTTTGTAATTTCCTCCAACAATTAGCAACCATTATGTTCAAATTCCAGCAGCTTCCAGATAATTCATAAAAAGGTGGTGATGATTTCTTCAATTCTCCCCTTCAGCACTGACCTTTTAGTTTAACTCTTTTCTTTTCGTCTCGTCCAACTTCACTTGAAACTTGACCAATTTCTAATCCCTCGATCCTATGAAGATCAACAGCACCATGTCTATGACCAAAACTGTCGAATGTCAAACTATCCATACCCACTGAATGACCTAAATTAAACCCATTATAGGGAAAAACACTGCACATTTGAAAGTTCATATATATTTGGCTTTTCCATGCTTTTATCTTCATCCATTTTTAGATTAGGATGCTTGGTATTTGATTTCTCATGTCCATCCAATTTTCTTATTTGTGATTGTAAATTTGTGCATACGTCAATTGCTTGTTGACTCTGTCGATCCTCTATTAATGTTTTTTGGACCACGTCATATTTCCTAAGACTCTGTGTTGCTCTTATAAACTCTTTATCACTTGAAGTTTGTTAGATATTTAGATTCCTTAGGATTTCATCATTAGGCTTTTGTAATCTCCTCCGACAATTTGTCTTTCGTTTCTTTTAAGTCTAGCAGCTCCACCCTCTGTTGTGCCTGCTCCATTCTTTGTGGTGTCTCTAAAGAATATACTTCTTCAAACGGTTTTTCTGAGTCTAATAGTTCCTCCTTCCACTGAGTCCACCAAGAAGACTCTTCCTAAACTATGATGTCCTCTTCTGAGTCATTGCTCCAATCATCTTTTCTTGAGTCATCAATCCAATTATCCTCATAATCCATTTGTTCAGGAAGGACCACTATTAATGCCGATTCATCCTTTAAACTTGAATTAAATTTCTTTCCTCGAGCCTGCTTAATTACTGTTGTTGATGCCTCAGCATCCCCCTTTTCTTCATTGTTGTAGTTTTCTTGCTTCTTGGAGGTTGCTATATTACCTTCCACTAGCTCATTTTTAAACTAGCAATCTTTAGCATAGTGGCCTCGTTTTCCACATACAAAGCACACGCCATTAGTTCATTGATATTCTTGACCTCTCTTGTCACAATTTTGTTCAGCTCTCCTTGTGTTGTAGCTTCCTTCACATTTATTTTCTTTATTATTTTGTTAACGAAATTGACATATTCTTTTATAGTTAAATAATGCATCTTCCTCTTCTTTCTTTATTGAGACCCCTAACATTTGTTTGGTTAAGCTTCTTATCAGTCAGGAAATTCTCAATATTGACCAATGAGGTCGCTATGGCCAACCTTGTATTGTAGCGATAAAACCTCTAAATTCTAGTCTCAATCCATTTATGATCATCCTTCTTACTCTAGGCTCTGAAATTTTACTTGAAGAAAATCTAATTCAAAAATTTCTCGACAAAGAGATTTAACTTTGTGGAGATATTGACTTACTGTTAATTCACCTTGAGTGATCGAAAGTAGCTCATTTTCCAACAATTGCAACCTCAAGTCATTTTTCTTTGAAAATGGTGTGGTCAGAGTATCCCATACTTCCATTGGTGTAGTCTTGTCTCTTATATGTTCCAACAATTATTCCTCAATTATTGTCTTTATGACAAACAAAGCCTTACCCACTTTGATTCTCCACCTTTTTAGAGCTTCAACCTCTTTTGGTGATGTCACGTCACTTCCATCAGCTATCTCTCACAGGTCTTGCCCTTGGAGATATGACCCCATGCAAGTTTGCCATGTGATGTAATACTAATTATTGAGCTTCCTCATTCCACCTAGCACTTGTAGGTTTTCTATCGTGACTTAAATTACCTTCTTATAATCAAACAAACTTTACAAAAGCTTCACAATCCTCTTTTGTCCACGAACTCAAGAAGCTTAGAAAATCCACCCCGACTACCTCGCTCTAATACCAAGTTGTTGGATTTAAACACAAAGGAAATTAATTTTATTGATATAAACTACTTATACATACATGGCCACTCAATATTATTTTATACTCTCAAATAAGCACCCACATACCAATAATATTTTTCTCATTCAAAGAAACTATTTCATCTCTCTCTCTCGCACAACACAACATTTCACTCTTTCTTCCAACAATCCACTCTCTGTTTTTCTCACTCACTATCTCTCTGTTAACAAAATGCAAAGGCTTAGTACATATATATACTAAAGCTATTGTCGGTGGAGGAGACTTAGGCAGAATTCAAGATAAATCCTTCAATGGCGGGGGGATGATGGAATATATTGTATACAACATTCTCATTATTCTTCTCTTAGCAACCATTATGTTCAAATTCCAGTAGCTTCCATATAATTCATAAAAAGCGATGATGATTTCTTCATTATCCTTCTTTAATCTTCCTCCCACTGGTCCTTGACCATTTTCTACAAATTTCATGCTGTGAACCCTACCCTTTGGTCAATCATTGAGAAATCTGTACATTTCTCTACATTTTTTTGCATTTAATGTGATTTTCTTAGGTTTTATTGTGTTTTTGTGTGCATAGTTTTTAGATTCATTTTTCATGCAAAGGGTTCACAATTTTAAAAGTCTTTCAAATGATATTTATGATCTTCCACGTGTTACAATCACCATATACCGAGTCAAATATAATCTTTTTTGTGAATAAGAATAATTTATGTTTATTGCTGATGATATCTCATTTCTTGTGTAATTTGAATGGGGAAACTCTTTTTCTTTTTTTATTGACCATGATACTAGTGCTAATTATGTTCTGATTGTTAGAGTAATCTCCTGTGTAAGATCGATGCGAAGTTAACAACATTAACTTGCATTGCATGTGTGTGTGTGTGTGTGAGAGAGAGAGAGAGAGAGTTTTCAATAGGTTTTTCTTTTCATTTTCTTGGTGAATTTAGGAAGAAAGACAGACGACTGTCAATGTTACTTGAAGGATTTTAGTTATTGTTCAGTAATAAATGGAGGAGATAAGAAATATGCATTGAGCCTATCCCATGTATGGGAAATTTAATTGGCAGCCTAATTAGGTGAAGGATGAAACAGGAAAATCATGACTAGAAACAACACTTTTAGATAGCCTGATTTAATAATTGAAATGTTTCCTACATAAATTTCAGGATCTATATTCTTATCGCTTTTATAAAGTTGAGCACTTCATCAATTTTTAGTTGCTAAAAAATTATCTTTATAGTTTCATAGTTTCTCGTAAATCATATTAGTTGTCAGTTGTTGATTGTTCATGTATGTCATTATCTGCACCTTGCTCCCTTATTTTATTTGTTGTGTTGGATTTTTGTTCTCCGTGCGACTTTTCCTATATCCTTTGTTTTCGAAAATAAACTCTTGTTCCCTAATTTGCCTTTCATTGTTCTTTGTCGAACAAGTAAACCCTATTGGAGAAATTTGTACTATAAGGTTCTTGTATGTTTATTTTGCTAAAAAATCATCTTTAAAATTTCATATGTTTTCTATATTTCATTTTAAGTTGTTGGATATTAGTTGTTTGCGTGTCTTTATTTGCACTTGGCTCTCTATATTTTATTTGTAGTGTTGAATTTTGATTCTTCACGTGACTTATTATTTACAAGTTTCTTTTCACCACTAAATGAAAAAAATGAGTTTTGAGGGCACTGTTCCTAAGAAATCATGCCTATTTACTGTTAATGCATTAGATGCATAGTTTTTTCCGCCACAACTTTACTCTGTCACTCTGTTATTTCAATTCATTTTCAATGTTTCTTCCAACAACACCCTATTTTCCTCCGATCATCCAGCTCATCATTTACTCTCTACTTCAGCCCCATCTTGTACAATTCCACCACCATCAATTCATCCTTATCCTTTTTTACTCTCTTACCCTCCCCATCAACTGTGCCAACACTCATGTCATTTGTACAACTGCTTCTTGCCCTAATCTTTGGCACATCCAATTTTCTAGCACCCCAGTATCGTCCTTTTCACTGTTCAACCTCTCGGGCGTATTTGGTAAGATCTATGCTCCTTTTGTTCCAATATATTTGTATTTATATTTGTGTGTTTTTCTCTAGATCTATGGTTGGTAATATATTTTTTGTCTATGTTTCTCTAGACCTGGAGTTGCAAACCTCCTATTCGACTCGAAATCCAACCTGAATGGTTCTGTTCACTTCGATCTTCAACTTCTAGGAGGTCATTGGTCGGAATTTAATGAAGGCCTCCATTATAGGGAATTTCTTTGATCACCTGATTATTGTACAAGTTTTAACATATTGTGTGCATTTGTAAATATTGTATATTTATTTATTTAGTGGAAATTGGGTCAAATAGCTTTTCTCATATTATACTTTGCAAATTTAGCTTTTGATTAGAAAAAAAAATTTTTTCATTTGAAACACTACCACCACCTCGAGCGGCTCCGTCTTGAACAACTTCCAGTGTGAACAACTGCTATTGCAAATAGCCCATTCTAGCAACCAATTTCTATGATACGATAATCACATGCATCGACGAACAATTAATTGTCCTTGCACTTCTTTTTCATTCTTCAGATCACAATATAATGCTTTGAGAAATTTATTGCATTTTGAGTTAGTATCTTGTGGTGAGATTATTGCATTTTGTTCCTCTTTCCATTGTGTTACTCGAATTGATAATAAACGGGTTGTTATAACTTAGAATTCGCAAAGAAAAGTTATGGGTGGCCAGGTATCTTTGAGAAAATACACCAATATTTGCATAGAAAGTGGGTATGGGTGGCCATGATTGAGCCATATAGAAAACCAAAATCCTTCACCCCCTTGTCACTATTTATGTATTTGCCTCTTAGACTGGAGTCGTTGGCTTTACTATTGCTGTGCAACTCATAAGTTATGTTTCGCTACATGTTCCATTTGGCTTGTTCACTTGATTTGTGGAATTAAATTTTAATTAGTTGTTTAATTTTGATGTAATGAAACAAAAGCATTTTGAAAATTTGATTCATTCGTTCACTAAGCCCTTTTAAGGGTTTGTATTTGATGGCACGAGCTTTAGCTTAATTTCCTAAAAATAAAGTCTATGACAATTTTGGCTTTTGATATGAGAGCCTCTACATGGTCATTTTTCTCTCTTGTATTTCCTTGTTTGAGAATTTTCTTCTACAGGAGTATGCATTTAGTCAGTAGGTAGTTTCCAGTTATCTTTTGCACTTGGTATATTATGATGACTAGATGTATTTGAAGCCCACAGAAGGAATGCTAAGAGTGCCCTGTTGTTTTCATTGGTTCTACAAATTAAAGTTGTAAACAACCTTTATGCTAAAATAAAGATATAAGGACATTTTTACCTTGCCTATGACTCATGTATGATCTACAATGTACTAACAAATCACTTGAATCACAATTTTCATTTCACACAACATTCTATTGGTCAACTTGTTCACTAGTTTGTGGATTTGCAGACACGTATTTTCCATATTTTTTAAGTTTGAAATTTTTTTGTTAAACCTAGTAATACAGCCATTGCTCAATCTCTCTCTTGCTTTTAACATTTATTTTTGGTTAAATTCGGTGCTAAGTGCTTCAGTAGTAGCTCATGCAAAGTTTAAACGAGTATAACTTATAGGTGTTGCTTTAGATCTATTTTGCTTAATCTTATTTTATCTATGCAGGTGTGACTACTTTTAAGAGTATTCTTTCACCTTAAATTTTAGTCTGGGGGATGCACATGTTGATTGAAACATTAAGGCTATTAGTGAGAATTTTCATTTATATTTATAGTAACCAGAATATCTATGATAATGTATTTCGGTGGAATATAATTCGCCTTCGACTGAGAAGAATGGACATCATGAGAAATGCAAAAGAAATGTTGAAGTAGAAATTGCATAATCTCTACTATATCCCTATAACGTAAAAGAATGACTTTGTTTTAGTACTATTCATTGGAGTTCATACCACCTCTTTTATTTTTATTTTTGTTTTTTTTTCCCTTTTGAGTTCCTACTTTCATTACGTTTTTTTTGTTCTTTTACTTTTTGACCATTCATTTTCGTCTGACACATGGAACTTTTTTCTTCTTCTTCAATTTCCAACTTTTTCTTCCTAAAGATTGCTCTCCATTTTCCAATTTTTCATTTGATACACGCAACCATTTTCTTTTTTCTTCAGCATTTCCCAACTTTTCTTCCTAAAATTTTCTCTCCATTTTTCAAGACCTTTACATTGCCCAATTCTTTTTTCTTGCTTCATTTGATACTGATATGCAGTGACAGCATATGGTGGCCCAAATGGAAGATCTTACAATGAAAATGGACAATCTATTTAAGTTAGTAAACATGGTACACCAATCACCATGCTACTACACACTGCCCTTTGGCTTCTAGACATGTCAATCAGCTTGAGGAGATGAGCTACTCGTAGAACTTTCAGAGATAGCAAAACAACCCCTACTCTGACACATATAATCCATGGTGGAGAAACCATTCAAACTTTTCATTGCCTACCAGTCAGGGACAAGGACAGAGAGGAAACAATTAGAATAGACCATTAGGGTTCCAACGACAGCAGCAACATCAGCAAGAGCGAAGGCCATCACTGGAATATTTGTTATCTTAGTACATCACGAAGATTGAGACCAATTTCCAGAATTAGTAGGTGTTTTAGAATTTAGAACATCGAGTGGGATAGATAGTAGCTGCAATAACCAACAGAGCACAGGGTATACAGCCTAGCGATAGAGAAAAAACCACGTGATTAGGTACTAGTAGTTGAGACTATGAGTTTTGGATCTAAAGAGTCACCATCATCCATATCGACCACTCAGGTTCAAGCCATCACCATTGAAAGTGGGGTTCAGCTACTTGATATTACTACAAGGAGAAACGAGACTGAGGGTACTCATGTATCTATGAACGACAAGAAATAAGTGGAATATTCAGAAGAATCAATAGAGAATGATTAGCAATTGCCTTCGGATAGTTCACAAGTTGAGGTAGAATTTGCAATCAAAGCACTGCACACCCAGTCCCAATTCCTTAAAGGTTGAAAATACCAAGCTGGAGAAACAGTTCACAAAATTCCTTAAAGTCCTTTAAATGCTGCATGTCAATGTCCTTTCATTGACGTGATCCTTCAAATTCCAGACTACTCCAAGTTCCTAAAGAAGATGTTGAATAAGGAAAGGAAGCTGCCCCAAGGAAGAAACAATAGCTTTTGTATCAAGATAATTTAGCGCAGGATCCCTCCCAAACTTAAAGATCTAGGGAGTATTAACTTAATTCCCTTTCCTCTTTATAGGAAATTAGAATTGGGAGATCCTAAGGTGGATTCTATCATCCTTCAACTAGTGGACAATTCGCTGAGACACTCCTACGAAATAGTAAAAAAATACTTATCAAGGCGGGGGAGTTTATTTTTCCAGTTGAGTTCATCATTTTCGACTTAAAAGAGATAGACCAGATGCCAATAATTTGGGATTGCCATTCTTGCCTACAAGCCGAGCCTTAGTGGATTTTGATACTAATGAGATATTTTTAATGGTGGAGGATAAACAACAGAGCTTCACCATGAGGAATTCACTCAAGCAACTCTCATATTTTGAGGATTGCCAACGAGTTGATCATTGGGAGAGATAGAAAGGCAGGCCAGATGAAGGTTGAATTGTTGGTAGGGACAGTGATTAAAACTTGATTTTGCGGAGGATGAAAGATAAAATAAGGAAGTGCAATGAGTGCATAAAATGCAGAGTTAAAAGTTTCCTTTTCAAGCCACCATAAAGAGCCTGGAAACAACAGAAGTAGTGCTAAGGACTTTAAACAAGCTCTTGTTGGGAGGCAACTCAATAGTTATATTCCTTTTATTTATTCTGCTTTCTAGATTTAAAATAGTTTAAGATAATTTATATTAGTTTTCATTCAATTTTGGAGATTCATCATCCACACCCCGTTTCTCCTTATATCAACTACATATTAGTTGGTTTATTATATGTTTGAGCTAATTAACACGCGTTCCAAGTATTTGATCTTTAATATTTTATTTAATTGCATTGTGCTGGAAGAGGAAATCATGGAAACTTAAACCAACATTGTCCAAGGAGACAACGAGAGTAATAGGAAAAGCTAACCAATTAATTTCACACCATATCAGCAGTGTATTTTCTTCTTTTTCTTTCCCATATTGTTATATGCGGATTTAGAACTTTAGACATTGAGGATAATGTCTAATCTAAGTTTGAGGATGGAAAACATGAGTTTAATTTTATTTTGTGTGTTTTTGTATGTGTTTTATTTCTTTAGATATTACAAAAAAATTAAAAAATATTTTCTTTTTATGTACTTGTGTGAGGTAACTAACCTGATTGACAATGAGAAATATATGGAATTAAGAATTGATCTACGATTGGTGAATATGTTACACAGTTAAGTTAATTTCTACTTTTTCATATGAAGTTGTGAATTAAATTAAGCATTGTGTAGGAGTGAGTTGATTTCATAATTGGGTAAGTTGAAATAGTGGATCATAGATGCTAAACCCAAAACCACTATATTCTACATCATTAGACGAAATTTAGAATAATTTGAGGATTTCACAGTTGTCGAAAGATATGGAGATAAACGGGATTCTGTGTAAAATTAAAAATCTTCTGTGGATTGTCTAATATCAATAGGAAGAAATTGAGTGAAAGTCACAAGTTAGAAGTCTCAAGGCGCATGCCCTCGACTGTAGGAGAAGTACATGCCCCAACCAAAAATGAGGAGAGACTAAGGCTCCGAGGCGCGCGAGCCTCAGTGTTAAAAGGCAACAAATTCTAGGTTTCCTTATTTTATTTTGGTAAGCAACCTCCTTGGCATAATATAAATAGGAAAACACATCCAGACCTAAGGGGAGATGATTGTAAGTCAAATTTTAAGAGAAATAGAGAGAATTTACAGTGAAGAACGAAGAATTCAATGCTTGGATCTGGATTTGAAGGCATAAATTGAAGATTTTCAGATCTTCTTCATAGTTTAAAAATTCGGGTGATTTTTTTATTTTCTTTCCAATTCTTACATTAATTTTTTAGGCTAAAATCTTTTGTACTGGATGGATGACAAAACTCTTTGATTCTTAGTTTTTAATTTGAGATTTTGTGTTTTCATCTTTATTCTAGTTTTGTGATTCCATTAATATGTATAATTACATCATTTTAATTTTTGCACACCATTAAGATAATAAGTCGCTTATTTGTAGTGTTGGAAAACTCACGGTACGTAGAACACTGTTCATGGAACACATGGACAATAATTATTAGGAATAATATTTATAGCATGTGCGATTATGTGTGATAATCCTAAACATCAATGCATGTTTACCATATAA